TAATAAGGCGTCATAAAATGTCAATCTGAATTATTTAGAACAGAAAAATTCCTAACAGGAATACATGTCTGAAAATCCTTATATCCTGCACATCCCATAAATAACGGAAATGAAAAATGGAGTTACGTAAAAGCCTGGAAATGTGACATTGTGTTCTATATATCTAAGTATGTATATGCGAATACACTTATCTTTCCAATAAACCCTTTTGAAATGTATTAAAAAAAATCCCACCCCATCCCACTTTCAAAGAAAAGAAAACAAATAAAAACTCTGTATTGCATTTCTATGATGTTATTGTTTGTGTATTTTTGTTTACAGACGATGAATGACATTTTAGACTAAAACATAAGAAAATTATCCTTGGGTATAGGACATCATGTAATACTGAAGGATTCTTTAAATCGAAAAAATACCAAGTAACTATCATTGACATAGCATTTAATCGTTATATCTAATAAACACTAGATATATTATAAATGAAACTGTCTTGTTTTGGTATTTCTACCTTTTACAGACTTATTCATTACAAATTAATATGTGCTTCATTAATATAAAAAGATATATGTATGAGAATCATCATTTTTAAATCAATTAAGACACATCAATAGTGATATAATATCACTTAACGCTAAACAGTAAACATAATGTATTCAAGAATACCAGATGAGTTAATAGTTTTCAATTTTGTGTCAATTTTGTTAATATATCTGGGTAAAAATGTTCAAGAATTTGTTTTCGACAATCATTCGCAGAGTGATTCCTGACGTAAATTATCACACAGTTGTCGCTAATTTGCAAGTTTTTTGGCGTAGTTCGATCTAACCTACGAAACAACACTTAAACATGTAAACTGCTGGGATTGGTTGGATTGAAATCGGGATGGTATATACCTTAATTAAAACGATCTACAGCTTTCATGTTTTGTTGGAAAAACAAGTCTTTGTTATTTATACTATGTATGTATTTCAGTTATTATAAATTTGAAAACTGCACCACATCACTACACAGCGTCAGAGAGTTATTTATAACACGACATTGGCGTTCGTTTCCGAGAAAAGAATCGTCGCTATTTTAGAGGTATCTTGTTTCAGTATATTTACGACAGCAAATTTCAGTTTCCTTCTTAATTTATTTTATTTATCTAAAAATAACATGTAATAAAATTAATACAGTCATTAATCATTCTACAAAGAGATCACCCTCTGATTTTGTTTACATCTGAAGTCACATGGTTTAACCATGTTCAATCCGTTAGAACCCCTAGATGATAATCAATGGTCGGCGAGGTGTTCTGAATTGGAAATGTAACTTTTTTGCTTACTTTATCATTCGAAATTTCTAACAAGTGTATGGAGTTATTTAAATCAATAACAGAACTAACCGAAATATTTTTAGGAATTGACACATAAGAAAAGTGTTACCCAAATAAATAAAATGCTTAAAGTTCTTAATAAGGCGTCATAAAATGTCAATCTGAATTATTTAGAACAGAAAACTTCCTAACAGGAATACATGTCTGAAAATCCTTATATCCTGCACATCCCATAAATAACGGAAATGAATATGGAGTTACGTAAAAGCCTGGAAATGTGACATTGTGTTCTATATATCTAAGTATGTATATGCGAATACACTTATCTTTCCAATAAACCCTTTTGAAATGTATTAAAAAAATCCCACCCCACTTTCAAAGAAAAGAAAACAAATAAAAACTCTGTATTGCATTTCTATGATGTTATTGTTTGTGTATTTTTGTTTACAGACGATGAATGACATTTTAGACTAAAACATAAGAAAATTATCCTTGGGTATAGGACATCATGTAATACTGAAAGATTCTTTAAATCGAAAAAATACCAAGTAACTATCATTGACATAGCATTTAATCGTTATATCTAATAAACACTAGATATATTATAAATGAAACTGTCTTGTTTTGGTATTTCTACCTTTTACAGACTTATTCATTACAAATTAATATGTGCTTCATTAATATAAAAAGATATATGTATGAGAATCATCATTTTTAAATCAATTAAGACACATCAATAGTGATATAATATCACTTAACGCTAAACAGTAAACATAATGTATTCAAGAATACCAGATGAGTTAATAGTTTTCAATTTTGTGTCAATTTTTGTTAATATATCTGGGTAAAAATGTTCAAGAATTTGTTTTCGACAATCATTCGCAGAGTGATTTCTGACGTAAATTATCACACAGTTGTCGCTAATTTGCAAGTTTTTTGGCGTAGTTCGATCTAACCTACGAAACAACACTTAAGCATGTAAACTGCTGGGATTGGTTGGATTGAAATCGGGATGGTATATACCTTAATTAAAACGATCTACAGCTTTTATGTTTTGTTGGAAAAACAAGTCTTTGTTATTTATACTATGTATGTATTTCAGTTATTATAAATTTGAAAACTGCACCACATCACTACACAGCGTCAGAGAGTTATTTATAACACGACATTGGCGTTCGTTTCCGAGAAAAGAATCGTCGCTATTTTAGAGGTATCTTGTTTCAGTATATTTACGACAGCAAATTTCAGTTTCCTTCTTAATTTATTTTATTAATCTAAAAATAACATGTAATAAAATTAATACAGTCATTAATCATTCTACAAAGAGATCACCCTCTGATTTTGTTTACATCTGAAGTCACATGGTTTAACCATGTTCAATCCGTAAGAACTCCTAGATGATAATCAATGGTCGGCGAGGTGTTCTGAATTGGAAATGTAACTTTTTTGCTTACTTTATCATTCGAAATTTCTAACAAGTGTATGGAGTTATTTAAATCAATAACAGAACTAACCGAAATATTTTTAGGAATTTACACATAAGAAAAGTGTTACCCAAATAAATAAAATGCTTAAAGTTCTTAATAAGGCGTCATAAAATGTCAATCTGAATTATTTAGAACAGAAAAATTCCTAACAGGAATACATGTCTGAAAATCCTTATATCCTGCACATCCCATAAATAACGGAAATGAAAAATGGAGTTACGTAAAAGCCTGGAAATGTGACATTGTGTTCTATATATCTAAGTATGTATATGCGAATACACTTATCTTTCCAATAAACCCTTTTGAAAAGTATTAAAAAAAATCCCACCCCACCCCACTTTCAAAGAAAAGAAAACAAATAAAAACTCTGTATTGCATTTCTATGATGTTATTGTTTGTGTATTTTTGTTTACAGACGATGAATGACATTTTAGACTAAAACATAAGAAATTTATCCTTGGGTATAGGACATCATGTAATACTGAAAGATTCTTTAAATCGAAAAAATACCAAGTAACTATCATTGACATAGCATTTAATCGTTATATCTAATAAACACTAGATATATTATAAATGAAACTGTCTTGTTTTGGTATTTTTATCTTTTACAGACTTATTCATTTCAAATTAATATGTGCTTCATTAATATGCAAAGATATATGTATGAGAATCATGACTTTTAAATCAATTAAGACACATCAATAGTGATATAATATCACTTAACACTAAACAGTAAACATAATGTATTCAAGAATACCAGATGAGTTAGTAGTTTTCAATTTTGTGTCTTTCGAAATGTTCATGCACATGCGTTTCAATTATTGTTAGCGTTATTGGTGGTCTCGTTATTTCTGACAAAACTTGTCAAATATAATTTATATCACAAATAATTCTTATGCTTAATAACCTGTTCATTACATATCGATGGCTGAACGCAACACTGGTCTAACTTGATTTTTACAAAATTTCAAGGAGGCTATAAAAACTTCATTAATTCTATAAATTGGACATTTTTGTTATTTTTTTTAGATTTTTATATCCATATAAGTTAAAATTAAATTTAAAAGGAGTTTCAAAAATTAATATTGGTAAATAAAAAAGATATTTGAAAAAATATGAGTTAGATCAGTTTTCCATCTATAAATCACCAAATTTCAATGATAAATTTTCTGCAAAACTGGTCTAACTTGACTTAGCCCTATGTTGCATTTACAAAATGGGTTCAATGAGGCCAAAAGAATAATCAATAAGTGCTATGTTTGAAAAAATAGGATAATGTAATGGAAAAAAGCTATAACTTTAACCATATTTTGGTATTTTTTTAAAAGAAAACAACTATTCTACAGAAACCGACATTTTAATTTATACAAAATTGACAATTATTAATTTTGCATAACATACTAGAAATCTTAAAAGTCAGTTGTTTTATCACATAAAATTATTTAAAAAAAAAATCTAATTATAAAGTTTCAGTTCGGAATGAATGTTTTGTAGACAAGATAAGATTTTTTTTATATAAAGCATTATTCAATGTAACATTAAAATTGAAGCAAATGTTCATAACTGAAAAATAGATTAGCATGCATATAAAACTCGCAACTCTAAAAACACAGGCAATTTGATTTAAAACTAACATTATTTTTGCCTATTGAATCTTCATTTATATTTTCAAGTTTATTTATGTAGTCAGAATTTCAAGTAAAATGTTATTTTAAGGAACAGTTTGCATAAACTAAACTCCAAGTTGCCAGAGAAAAAAACTTTTGCCTCTCTTTGTAATTAAACTTGGCATGACACTTGTATCTATAGCTTTGTCCACCTTCCTTTCTCATCATCCATTATACTCAATTTTTTGTCAGATTTTTAAACATAATTTTTTCCCATATTCCTATTACAGTAATTCATTACATTTCTCTTTTATCTATCATCATTCTTACTTTTTTATCTAATATTTTCCCCATTTAATAACTATTTTCTATATTACATAAACTATCATTTTAACCATTCTCCACTTGCCAGCACTCATCACCAGCATAATGATATCAAAAACCCTAATTTCACCTTCAAAATGATTAACAGCATTTTTATCACCATCATCATCCTCGGCTCTTATATAAACAGCATTGTCTCCACTAGCCCTAATTAACCAACATTACTATTCTGAGTACTCATCTCACCACCATTATCTTCCTCACCACCTATATAAGCAGCATTGCCACCAAATTAGACCTCATTACATCAGTATTGTCATCAATCACACTTTTATCACCAGCATTGTCATCCTCAGCACTTACATAACCAGCATAGTCCCCACTAACTATAATATTACCAATATTGTCCCCACTACCCTTATAATACCAACATTGTCCTCACTATAAACTATAATATCACCAGCATTGTCCCCACTAACCCTTATAATACCAGCATTGTCCCAACTAACTATAATATCACCAGCATTGTCCCCACTAACCCTTATAATACCAACATTGTCCCCATTAACTTTAATAATATCACCAGCATTGTCCCCACTAACCCTAATAATACCTGCATTGTCCCCACTATAAACTTTAATATCACCAGTATTATCCCCACTAACCCTAATAATACCTTCATTGTCCCCACTAACTATAATATCACTAACATTGTCCCCACTTACCCTTATAATACCAGCATTGTCCCCACTATCTATAATATCACCAGCATTGTCCCCACTAACCCTTATAATACCAACATTGTCCCCATTAACTAACTAATATCACCAGCATTGTCCCAACAACTATAATATCACCAGCATAATCCCCACTTACTATAATATTACCAATATTGTCCCCATTAACCCTCATATCACCAGCATTGTCCTCACTATAAACTATAATATCACCAGTATTGTCCCCATTAACCCTTATAATACCAGCATTGTCCCTACTAACTATAATATCACCACCAATGTCCCCACTAACTATAATATCACTAGCATTGTCCCCACTAACTATAATATCACTAACATTGTCCCTACTTACTATAATATCACCAGCCATGTCCCCACTAACTATACTATTACTAACACTGTCCCAACTAACTTTAATATCACCAGCAATGTCCCCACCAACTATAATATCACTAACATTGTCCCCACTAACACTCATATTACCAGCATTGTCTCCACTAACTATAATATCACCAGCAATATCCCCACTAACTATAATATCACTAACATTGTCCCCACTAACACTCATATTACCAGCATTGTCTCCACTAACTATGATATCCCCAGCATTGTCCCCACTAGTTATAATATTTCTAGCATTGTCTCCAATAACTATGATATCACCAGCATTGTCCCCACTATTTATAATGTTTCTAGCATTGTCCCAACTAACCCTCATATCACCAGCATTGTCCCCATTTACTATGATATCACCAGCATTGTCCCCATTTACTATGATATCACCAGCATTGTCCCCATTTACTATATCACCAGTATTGTCCCAGCATTGATTTCGCAAGCATTGTCTCCATTATGACCCTCTTTGTCAGCATTGGCCCCACTAAATATTATTTATCACCAGCATTGTCCCCCACTTCTTTCTTAAAAATTTCTTTCTTGTTGGGTTTATAATGTCGCACTTACAGGCCAGTAGTCTCAGGTCGTATGACAATACTCCAGCTTTACCAGTGGAGGAAGACCTCAAGTACCCAAGTTCTGTTGCTTCAAGTTTGTAACATCCGAGGTTAGCTTATAAGGAATTTACTTAGCCTATAAGGAATTTACACCGGCTGCTGGTACAGACAATAATATCTAACTTGAGGGTAATTTTTTATGACGGTAAAGAGACACAAGTTTCCACTACACAGTTACCTGAGAGATAGATATTCCTGTCTGTGACAACACCTTGTGTTTGATTTTGTTTCTTGCAGATTACATATCAGTGATATTTCGTAATGTAGCATATGACTTTAGGCAAAATGATGTCATCTTTAGAACACAATTCATTCATAAAAGGCGCTAGGGAATGATATCATTTAAAAACATTGACTTGTCTTACATGGGGGATGTAAGACAGGTTTTTCTAGCACCGGTGAAAACAGTAGATAATCCTATCTGATATGCAACAAAAAATCTTTTCTGCTTTAGCGAAATATGACCTCAATTGTGTTGGTGTGCCAAACCAAACTAAACCAAAAATTTTATTCAAATGATTACAAGCCTTATACATACAGATACTTAAAGAAACTTCACTGAGCTCCAAGGCATAAAAACTTAAGATTTGAATTTCTGAAATGAATCAACTCGGGCCACATAAACAAAAAGATACACAAGAGATATAAAGAAAGAAATTATACTTAACATGAAGTTGAAAATTTTATAATGGTTCTATTAGTATCTAATTTGAGTTTAAAGCTGCATTAATATGCTTTTCAATATCCGGTCATTTTTATAGTTCACATAACTGCTCTGAAAAAAAACTTAGCAAATGATCTGAAAGTTTAAGCAAAGTTATTTGCCCAGACTTTCATCAAATTGAACATAAATCTCAACTCCCATGATGCCAAGATAGGAGTCCCTTTAAGAAGAAGCAAATTGTATTAAATAATTATAAAATCTTGAAATTTTTAGAGGGTGGGAGATCTTGTTTCATAAGTATTAATAGATCACTATGATTTAAAAAAACAAAACAAATTGTATTGTAAATAATTTTCATCAACACATCAATTTTCATCAATTAAATGATTTAGATATAAAAATAAATCTTTTTGAAAGGTTAAATAAATTTGCTCTTATTTTTTTTTTTTTTTTTATTTCAATCTTATATGACTATGTAGAGATAATATAGCAATTTTAAACTTATAATTAATCCTTGAAAACAAAATAGAATTAATTAAGAGCCTTGGATTTACAATTCTGCAATTTTGGCAACAAAAATGGGTAAAATGTAGAAATAAGTATTTAAGAATATGCCAGACCTAACTTAATATCTGCAAATATAACAATACTGATTTTTATTGTATTGAAATTTAACAGCAACACTGTGCTAACTGGAGTTAGTACAGTGTTATCATCCAATAAGTAAATTTTGATTAATGCAACACAGTTCTAACTTGAGTTAGCTCTCTGTTGCATTTAAGTTATACTCACATTTGAGATAGAGCAAAATGCCAAGTGGTAAATAAAACCCATAAAATTTCACAATTATTTCTAATATTTTATTTACTGATGTATTTCATGCAATTAGGCTAAAAAATGCAAAAAAGTCATTTTTGAAAAAAAATCAAGTTAGACCAGTGTTGCGTTCAGCCATCGATATGTTATGAAACTTTTAAAGCAGCGTTAGCTGTTGTTAAATGTTTCATTGGGGAAAGCACGGTTCACAAGTCTATATTTTGAAAAAAAAATCCCGAGAAATTTAAGTAACTAGAAACTTTGTTTCCGAAACTTCTTTAGTTTATTTAGGAATTCAGACGTGCATACGTTTTAGAAAAATCCTTTATATTTTTTTACTAATTAAGAATGGTCAGTGAGATTTCCCGATTTCAGTTAGTAATTTTGAAATGACCGATTGAAATCCTACCTATATTCAGTTCTTTCCTGTAATTTTAACTGGAAGTTTAATGTTCTCAGACGGATTCTTTACAAAAAAGAGGTGAATAAATGTCGTCACAATAAAATTAAAGCATTCAAAGTGTTCGGTCACGTTCTTACTAATCCGCTTACAGTCTTTATATCCGTCTATCATCCGTTGTGACATTTGCTGTCATGGAAACGATGCCTTGTTAAGACTTTCTATATTTAAGTGAAAGCCAAAAAATCTCATTTTACGCAATGAAATCCTATTATTACAGCAAAAACATACCAGCCGGTAAGTAAAATATTTATTGTAACTAATTTGTATCTTGTAACTTTAATAAACGTAAGGTAATTGGCCGGATGCTGTATACAATTAATTATAAAAAGAGAGTTTTGACAGTCGATATGGCCTCTTATTATCGACAGTAAGCTTACATAATTCGAGCTTCTAAATATGGTGGCGGATTTACGCCATATCCTGTTTTCGCTTCTTTGCTTCCAAAATTCGAATATACGACAAATTTTATGTGTCGTATTTTCGCCCTTCTTCTATCTTTTTTTCGAATTTTTGCCTCGAAAATCCAAAAAAAAGCGAAAACACAAAGAGACGACGACATCCCTTAATGTTTTCGCATTTTGAGGCGAAGAAGCCTAAATACGACATGGTGTAAATTAGCCACATTAGCTTGAGGGTTATAAAGCACGGTTATATTGTAATGGAATACCTCTCTTACAAATTTTGGACATTTCAAATGACATGACAATTTACGTTATACTTTCAACAGAAATCAACATGTGCATATATAATTCTATAAATCATGAACTGTTCTTACTTAAAATGTATTAACAATGATTAAATAGTGCTACCTTTTTAACAAATGGACTTTATTCCACGAAACACAACGTAAAACTTGAATATCAGCATTGTTGACAGTTCTCTTTTAAGAAGTATCACATTAGGATAGATAACTCTCGCCACAAAATGGTCAGATGACCCTGATTTATTTCCTGATGAATATCTAATAATTTGGAACATTTACAGTTACTATAATATATCACAAAGTGAATATCTACAGACATTATTGGAAGATTTAGACGGCGCTTTCTTCTGCTTTCTTCTGTCATTTTCCATTTTTAAAAATGGCGGACACAGAACTTTGGAACTACTTATTTGTATTTCAGTCTGGCTTTTTATGAATGTATATTTGTTTACATTTAAACTTTCAGGATTTCTTATTTATGTAAAAATAATTGTAAGCCTGATTTAAGCCGGATGATTTCATATTCTATTCTATTCATATTTTATTAAGTGAGAACTGTATTTTATCTGCGTAATGGAATATGTCTGCATATATTACTACGCTCGAGTATTTTGGACCGGCTTTTTGTTAATATGTATTTTTAAATGTTATTTCAGATATGTTTATGTGGCTTTTCAATTAAGCCATATATGTGCTACTTATGTCTGTTAGAACCTTTATTGTTATTGCGCTATATTGTAAATATTGTTTTAGACTGATCACTGGACCTAGTCTTAAGCCGGGATTTTCATTGGCTGGAGCACTCTTTATAGCGTCCCAAAAAATTATAAATAGGGGTGACTGTCGTCATTTGGTATCTTCTTCTCAACCGTAACAACTTGAGAAGTACCAAGGCTACAAAGCTTAAATTCTTTGAGCCTTAAGTCACATTACGTCTGACATATATTTCTTGCAACCACTTACTGGCTTACTTACAAGGTATCTACTATATATTGGATAAATAATAACTTACCTTTATTTGATGAGCGTTAAGCTATCCAGTACTATAGTAAACAACAACAGTTTACTTACAAGTCTATTACAAATTCATTTGATGCTGAACCTAATATAAATTATCACGTTATGGCAGACCCTAAAAGATGCACTGGGCTTAGAAATTTCCAACATCCTGTCATACTTTACATTTTTTAACTTAATGTTCATAACCGAAGAAGATCCCATTGCATAAGCCTAGGTCCTCTATTGTCGAGTATTGTCAATGCCGGTATTTAATCCATCGAAGAATAATTGTTAATGCCTCCCGATATTAATTCGTTTATATCGATAGATCTACGTCACAGAGTAGTATTGTCAGCGGATATCATATACATATTTATTGAGATGTACTTGTTATATGATGTCACATTATTAAATGACGTTTACATGTTAATCGAGTTACTGATGTCTTGTACCAGTTTCCTGTGTTACCAATGCAGGACTTACCTATATTTGTACACTCTATCCTAAGTAATAGGTTGTATAAATCCTGGTTATATAAATATCCTGACAAGATGACCAGATACTTACAAAGGATCCCTTGATGAAACTATGATGTCTCTATTATGATCTGAGCCTACCTCTTATGATGTATTGGTATACTACAAAGATGACTAAGATGTGTTGAAGCTATGTCTGATGTTTAAAACAACAGCTACTTGTAAGTGTATGTAATATGGGGTAGAAGTATTGCCATACACTTACTAGTTAATACAGTGGCCGGTATCCTGATTAATAAGGATTTGGTAACTACCCTAGGGGGGTAGGTCCTTACAATATCTATGATATGCCTTTATAAATGTCTTTCCTTAAATATAAATTTAATAAAATATAATCATATATATTCCTTAATAAAACATAAGAGGACAGGGAACCAAATTAAATGGAAGCGGTGCATGAAATGTCGAATGACACCTTTAAAATGAAAAATGTAAAATTAAAAAAAGAAACAATTTTTTTTAAATCTGACTTGCTCACTGGTTTTGCCTACTTCCATATTAATATTATATTCATTTTTCATTGT